CTCCCTGTCGGGTTACGCGCACGGCGTCATAGCAGGCAGCTACTCGCGGAGAGCAGGACCACGTCGCCATAGTAACCCATCACTGACTCAAGGCTATCGCCGGTTGCCATAGGAACCATTTGGGGATGGCAGTCGCCAGGGAAGGCTGGGATGCGAGGGGGCACCTCCGGAAGCAGCCAGTACCTGCGCTGCTCCAGATGGGTGGGGAGGCCGTGGGGATGGCCGGGCTCAGCCCCCAGGCGGGGGCTGGATGGGGACATGGGGAGGCGGGACATGCGGAGCAGCAGGGAGGGGGCTTCGGGGCAGGACGGGGAACACGGGGCTCACCTTGAAGAGGGTGATGCTCTGGAGCACCCCTGAGGTGCAGCACATCTCCCGGATGGAGTGCATGGCCAGCTGCGGGCAGCCGATGTCCAGCACGCGCAGCCCCAGGCGGGAGGCCAGAATGGGGCCGATGGTGGTGCCGCAGGGCGTGTCGTTGCGCACCATGAACTCCTGCATGGGGACACGGCCTTAGCAGCTCCCCACGCTGCCCCACGGCCTCCCGCACGGGCCCCCGGGCCTGAAGGGAAGCAACCTGGGACGGGGAAGCAGCACCGTCCCCGAGCCAGGGTGCAAAATGCCCCAGAGATGGGACGTGCTCAGGCCAGGCCCTCCCCTCCTGTCCCCGAGCCTGCTCCCCAAGGCAGCCCCGGAGCTGGAGCTCCAGAGCAGCAGGCAGCGCAGAGCCCAGCGGGGACGGACACGGTAACTGAGGGGTGGGGGGTCTGGCACAGGTCCCCTCTCCTGAACCAAGGGGCAGGGCCGCAGCCCAAGCTTGGTAACATTCACGGAGGGCTCGCTCAGCCCTGCTCACCTGCAGAGGGACACCCACGCGGGCGGCGATGTCCCGGATGATGGCTTCGGTGACAGCCGTGGAGGCGTAGCGCTGGTTGCTGTTCACTTTGATGACGGGGCCCTGCACAAGGGAAGGCACCGCAGGCCCACGATTGGCACCGGGGATAGTCGGGGGCTCTGGAAACACCCACGCACAGGCAATGCCATCCCGCCCCACCCCCCCAGTCCATTCTCCCCTCCCTGGGTGATCCGTGGAGATGGGGACAGCCCTGCCATGGGGACAGCCCCAGCTCAGAGCAGGTAAGGGCTCCAGGGCCAAGGCTGTGGTCCCAAGTGATTAACACCAGACGTGTGGCACGGCCAAATCGTGCTGCGGGACAAACGTCTCCCATTTGAGTGCCGCTGAGTTGCACCCCGGGACCATGCTCCAGGGAGTGGCTGGGCGTCTCACAGTGCTGCAGGACAGACAGACAGCGCCCGTCCGAGCCCAAAGCAGAGGGCTGCCCTCACCTTGTGGAAGGCTGGACGATGATTCTCTTCATGCTTGTCCCTGCAAAAGAGGAGCAGGAGTTTCATGCTACAGCCCTCCCTCCCTGCCACAACAAGGACTGTCCTGTCTGTACTCCCTGGGGAATGACAGGGTACGACCCCCAGCCGGCAGGGCAGGCTGCCCTGGCCTGCGGCATGGCTCAGACTACTCACACGTAGTTAGGGTGCACAGCGTGGGCCATATCGGCGCTGATCATGTAGGACTTGGCCACGGCCTCCTCGAAGGCTGTCAGGTTTTGTGGCGATGCCGAGATCCGGCGCAGCACCAGCTCCGTCAGCAAGGACTCCGCACCCTGTGCACTCTCTGACCCTACCTGCAAAGGACCACCATCAGCACGACTCAGGCAGCACCCCCCCCCGGCACCCCAGGGGCTGGCTGAGTGACAGGGGGCTCCCCAAAGCCAGCAGAGCAGCTTCCAACCACACCAGTGTTTCCCACTCCCTGCCTGGGCCATACTCCACGGGGGGGTAAGCAAACCCCCTCTTGCCGCGCTGGGGCCTGGGATCTATCTCCTGCTAGGCACAGCTGGGGGAGAGCAAAGAACATGGAGCCACTCCCTGTGCCAGACACCCCACGGCTGTGCCCCTCGCTCACCTCCTCGTTGTCGTAGAGTGCAATGAGACGCACGTTGGGCTCCTGGGAGAGGGAAGAGGGCGCTGTGCACGAGTCTATCAAGGCCTGCAGGGTTAGAGGAGAAAGGATACCAGTTGAGTGCCACCCCGTCCAGGGAAGCTCAGCACTGAGCCAGCAGGAACTTCCCCAGGAGAGCCCAAAGCACCGAGGAAGGGAGCTGCGGGCACACACATTGCCCAGCGAGAGCAGGAATAGCCCCTGGGAGCTGCTGGGAACTCCACACACCCAGCAAAGGGGGCAGCCCCCATCCAACCCCAGATCCTCCAACAAACCAGACCCACCCCATAGGAACACACCTCCCTGCAGAGCCTCGGGCCAGCCCACAGCCCCGCTAAGCCAAGCCGGGGTGTGCGGGGGCCACGCTGTGGCCTCCAGGCTCCTTTGCCCCTCTTGCTCACCTGCAGGGCGCAGTAGCAGCTGTGCAGGTTGTCCAGGCGTGGGGAGAAGATGAACTCGTCAAAGGCACCACCCAGCGTCTGCAGGCAGAGAGCCAGGAGGAGCAGGGCACAGGCTCTGGGTCACCAAAAAGTACCTACCACTGGGTCCCCATTCCGATCCCCTCATCTCTGCCCCTCAGGAGCCGCCTCCTCTCATTCCGCTCAGCTCCCAGCCCTGGTACGCCCCAGGCAGAGGAAGCGTGCCTGGTAAAACCCGTGCAGTGCCAGCCTACAGGCTGTGTGCAGGCAGAGGGAGGCTCCTGCCCTTACTCACCGCTGGCTGCGTATCCGCCAGGCATAGTTCCAGCTCCACAATCTGCTCTGGTTTCACCCCCAGCTGGGGGCAGAGCAGGGAAAGCAGGACAGGGCTGTGCCGCTCTGCCTGGGAAGAAAGCAGAGCTGCGGGCAGGGCAGGCAGTGGATGGCAGGGGAAACTCCCTGTTCCCTCTGGCAGAGCCGTCTCACACCCTACTCACGTTGGCACAGTCCTCCCTCCTACTAACACGTCCCGTGTTCAAGCCCCCACCTCACAGAGGACAGCAGGGCCATTCACAAGACACAGCGAGGGGCTCTCTGCCCCCTGTGCAATCCCCCCTCCCTGCCCTGCCTCCCCAGGGAGGCTGTGGCAGCTTTACGGGGGCTGCACCCCCTTCTATATACAATGGCTGCAGACCAGGGTGGGAACAGAGAGATGGCTGAGCAGATGTGTCGTGTACACAGCTCTGGGGAAGAGTGGAAAGTTACCAGCAGTCCATGGGGAGAAGGTGAAGGGGAACCTGCTGGTAGGTCCCCGAGGACTGGAAATCAAAGGTGACAAGTGTGAGGTCCTAGCAAGCGCCCCTGCTAGTCCTTGGCACCCAGCTCACCTGGGCCGCAGTATCGCAAGGTATGGCTTCCATGAGCACCTCCTTTTCCAGCTCCTCCTGCACAGCAGTGGCCAGAATGGGAACCCTGTGGGGAGATGGTGCCATTAGCTCCCAGGGCTTTGCTCACCTCTCCTGCCTGGGTCACACACAACCAACCCTTCCTGGGGTGCCTGCCTTGCTCCTCCAGGAGTGATTGCCATGCCGAACGGAGCAAGGACACACATTTCAAGCACAGATCTATTGTGTCACCTCAGGACACCCCAGTGTCCTTTCCCAAGTCTCAAGCTTGGAAGCATCTCCTGGGAGGACTCTATGGGGCTAAGAAAAGCCATTGCAGACCTCCCCATTGCGATGAGCGGCTGCCAAAGGGAGAGAGCTGAGGCTGGGGACTGCTCCAGCTGGGTCCCAGCCCTCCCCGAAGGCTGGCCGGGGTCAGGGCCGAGACAGGCCTTACAGGTGGTGCTCGGTGTTGGGCCCGAAGTTCTCATTGATGTTGCGCTGCAGATGGATGGCCAGGTGGGGAATGCGGAGGACAGGTCGCTCCACACGTACCAGGCGGTGCTCCAGGCGCCCCGTGGCCGGGTCCTGAAACACAAGGAGGACTGCTGGGGCCAGGCCTGCAGGGCTGAGAGGTTGCGGTAGGTTCCAGTCTGGGCAGGAGTCACAGACCCAGAGCCGGGGGCACACAGCTAGCCCACCATACCTGTCCCAAATCAGGCTCACCTTTATGATCACCCTCCCGGCCACAGTAAGGTCACGGTCAAACCAGGTGTTCCAGATGCCCCCTCCGTAGGTCTCCACACCGACCTGCACCATGCCCACCTGCCCCCGCTTAGAGCGCCGCTTCACCTGGGCGAGAGCAGAGGTGTCACTGCCATCACCACAAAGCTCCGGGGACTGGGTAACTGGTGGGGACTGGGCAGAGCACGCCCAGAGTCTCATCGCTGATCCTGTCAGCACAGGGTGCTGTGAGGTGCTTTGTGGGACAGGGGACACAGAGGCAATACCCACAGGTGGAGCAATGCAGGGGGTCAGCATGGGCTGCTCTGGGTGGTAGATTTGGGAGGTGCAGGGACCCGGCAACGGTGCTGCGGGGCACAGGGGGAGTCAGGGTGGATTTTGCTTGTGGAATGAAACCGGAGGGCAGGAGAGAAGGCCCCGGCCCCAGGGGAAGGCACCTGGCTGGCCGGCCGCCCTTACCCTGAGGCAGGGGCTGTCGGTGTGGGCCCCCAGCAGGCTGAACCCATTCCCAGGCTGGAACTGGCCGCCGACGGCGAAGGCGATGAGGGTGGAGTAGTTCCTGGTGATGAAGTACTGGGGGCAGAGGGGCAGGGGTGAG